GGTGTCAATATGTCCGAATGGTTAAGGAGACAAACTCGAAATTTGGCTATGCAATTTTTAGCTTTATTATGAAATCCCACATCCTACATAATACTTATAATTTACACCTTCAAAATTTTTATTTGTTCGCGTATGTAAATAAATTGCGAATATGGTCCAAGTAATAAATGCCCAAGTTTCTTTTGGATCCCAATTCCAATACGATCTCCATGTCTCATTAGCCCATACGGCCCCTGAAAGAATACCTATGCTTAAAAAGATAAACCCTAGACTAATAATATGATAACTCCAATGATCTAATTGTTGAATCAGTTGAGACTTATAATAATTATTATAAGAAAAAAAATAAGTGTTTCTTAAAACATTGTTCTCTTCGTTCATGTATTGGATCTCATCAAAGGAAAATAACGCATTTAATAAATGATTGTTTTTACCAAAAATTATTATAGAGTTTTGAAATGTAATCACTATGAGAGCTGGTATAATGTTGTTGCCAGAATCAGAGTACTTGAGAATATGAGAATCTAAAGTTTGGGGTGTCAATATGTCCGAATGGTTAAGGAGACAGACTCGAAATCTGTTGGGATATGCCTACGTAGGTTCAAATCCTATTATTGATGTATTTTTATAAGGAGACAAACTCGAAACTTGCAATTTTTTTATTATGAAATCCAAGATCCTATATAAGTGGAAGTGGGAATTTATTTATTATGAATTCCAAGATCCTATATAAGTGGAAGTGGGATACTATTGTTGCCACAATCGAATCCAAATCCGCCGAATCACTCATGTTATGATCTTCTACATCCTAGGTCTTCCCATTCCTTCATCTGGCTTATGTTCTTCATGTAGCATTCAGACCGAATGACTCTATGAAATTACGTCGATACTTCCACATATTATGGGTAACGTAGGAGACATCTCTATTTTTCCCCTCAGGAATCCTTAGAATTACCACTGCTTAGCTTTCAATTTGCCTCTGACCATCAAATGAAATGTGAATAACCCATCCTCCTCTCTTTGAAACAAGGGACGCTTCTGGTTCTGTCGGTGACCTGAGAATCGGAGAAACTAAAGTTTGGGGTGAAAGGCTATGCCTACGTAGGTTCGAATCCTACTATTGACGTATTTTTATCTTTATTGTGAAAACACACATTGGTTGAACAAGGAACGAATCATTCTTTATATAAGGGTGTCAATATGTCGGCATGGTTAAGGAGACAAACTCGAAATTTGGCTATGCAATTTTTAGCTTTATTATGAAATCCCACATCCTACATATATAAGTAGAAGTGGGATACTGTTGTTGCCACATACTCGAGAATCTGAGAAATAAAAGTCTAGGGTGTCAATATGTCCGAGTGGTTAAGTCGATAGACTCGAAATCTGTTGGGCTATGGCCTTGCGTAGGTTCGAATCCACAATCAGTAGTACCTGAGAATCAGAGAAACTAAAGTTTGGGGTGTCAATATGTCTGAGTGGTTAAGGAGACAGACTTGAAATCTGTTGTGCTACGACTGCATAGGTTTGAATCCTACTATCAACGCATTTTTATCTTTATTGTGAAAACACACATCGGTTGAATAAGGAATGAATCATTCTTTATATAAGGGTGTCAATATGCTATTGTAAACACACACATCGGTTGAACAAGGAACGAATCATTCTTTATATAAGGGTGTCAATATGTAGGAATGGTGAAGGAGACAAACTCTAAATTTAGCTATGCAATTTTTAGCTTAGTATCACTCTAAATTTGGCTATGCAATTTTTAGCTTAGGATACTATGTAGGAATGTAGGAATGGTCAAGGAGACAAACTCTAAATTTGGCTATGCAATTTTTAGCTTAGTATCACTCTAAATTTGGCTATGCAATTTTTAGCTTAGGATACTGTTGTTGGCACAATCAGTAGTACTTGAGAATCGAAGAAACTGAAGTTTGGGGTGTCAATATGTTCGAGTGGTTAAGGGGAGAGACTCGAGTTTGTTGGGCTATACTTGCGTAGGTTCGAATCTTGCTATTGACGCATTTTTAGCTTTCTTGTGAAAACACACATCGGTTGAACATGGAACGAATCATTCTTTATATAAGTGTGTCAATATGTCTGAATGGTTTAGGAAACAAAATCGAAATTTGGCTGCAATTTTTAGCTTTATTATGAAATCCCACATCCTACATAATACTTATATAAGTGGGTTATTGTTGTTGCCACGATCAGTAGTACTCGAGAATCTGAGAAATTAAAGTTTGGGGTGTCAATATGTTCAAGTGGTTAAGGAGACAGACTCGAAATCTGTTGGGCGAATCTGAGAAATTAAAGTTTTGGGGTGTCAATATGTTCAAGTGGTTAAGGAGACAGACTCGAAATCTGTTGGGCTATCTCTACGTAGGTTTGAATCTTGCTATTGACGTATTTTTAGCTTTATCATGAAAACACACATTGGTTGAACAAGGAACGAATCATTCTTTATATAAGGTAAGGGTGTCAATATAATATGTACGAATGGTTAAGGAGACGAACTAGAAATTTGGCTATGCAATTTTTAGTTTTATTATGAAATCCAATTTTTAGTTTTATTATGAAATCTCACATCCTACATAATACTTAGATAGGTGGAAGTGGGGTACTGTTTTTTGCCACAATCAGTAGTACCCGAGAATCTTGTTTGATGAAGAAATTTGAGAAACTAAAGTTTGATGTAGAAATCTAAGAAACTGAAGTTTGATTCAGAAACCTGTGAAACTGATGTTTAATGAAATACTAGAAGAAACTGAAGTTTGATGAAATCCGAGAAGTAGTTTCAGCGAAAGTAAACGCAAACGAGAAATGAAAGTGGGATACTATTGTTGCCACAATCAGTAGTACCCGAGAATCTGAGAAACTGAAGTTTGATGAAGAAATTCGAGAAGTAGTTCTTAGCGAAAGTATACGCAAACGAGAAATTGAAGATCTGAGAAGCTGATGTTTAATGAAATCCAAGAAGAAACTGAAGTTTGACGAATTTTTAGCTTTATTGTGAAATCACACATCGGCTGAACAGGGAAAGAATCATTCTTTATATACGGGGTCTCAATATGTCCGAGTGGTTAATGAGACAGACTCGAAATGTTATGCCTGCATAGGTTCAAATCCTACCATTGATGAATTTTTAGCTTTATTGTGAAATCACACATCGGTTGAACAAGTAACAAATCATTTCTTATATTAGGGGTGTTAATATGTCCAAGTGGTTAAGGAGACCAACTTGAAATCGGTTGGGCTATGCCTGCACAGGTCCTGTCAATATGTCCGAGTGGTTAAGGGTAAGGGGTGTCAATATGTCCGAGTGGTTAAGGGTAAGGGGTGTCAATATGTCC